TTCTCTTCTCTTCTCTTCTCTTCTCTTCTCTTCTCTTCTCTTCTCTTCTCTTCTCTTCTCTTCTCTTCTTTTCTTTTCCTTTTTAAATTCACTATTGTCTTTGGAAACATAATGCTGTTTATATCCAGCATTGAGGTTAGATACAGGTGCTAGGTATACTTGGAGGATGGAGCATTGTCTTTCCGTGTGTGGTGTGTAATTCTAGGGCAGTTGTCTAACTTCAAAGAGGAGGATTTGGACCCTGTCAATATGAAACAAGCATTAAACACAAAGACTTGCCCAATAGCTCTAGGTAGGTACCCACCACACAGACAAGAGAGTGAATTTTCCTCTGTGAAAATTGCCCAGGTTTCCTAACTGAGCAATTATGGTAATATTTTATACTTTATGATACGTTCCCTTCAAATAACTCTGTCACTGCAGAAAGACTGGAAAACAAAGATAAAGATCAGGCATGAAAACATGTACATAATTAGAGAGACTATTTTAATTTCTAGTTTTAAAATAATGCATATGTAGTTTCTTAACAGGTTATTTCAAGCATTCAGGTTTTAAAACCGACTGTTGAGGTGTAGACACTTTTCCATGTCATATGACTTTTCCCCTTGACACTCAAAACAATATTTGCTGGCTTTAGAAATCTAGGAAATATAAGGAGGAGTGGAAAAGTAGAAAAGAAAACCCCCAGATAGCTTCTCTGCCCAGAGGCAAAGGCTGTTTACATTTTAAAAGTGTTCCACAATTTCCCAATATTTCTGTATCACATGGTGTGCCATGGACCTTAAAGTTTAACTTGCTAGCTTTATATAATTTTTAGAAGTACTATTTATTTAAATCTTTTGTTTTTAAGGGGGTTGCATTGAATCTCTTTTACTAAAGAACTTTGGTAAAATACAGAAGGATATCCAGTTATATAAAAAAGATGTTACAACTTATTCTTTTAATTCCCATAAGCACACATTGTTGCAGCAGTTGCCACAGTAAAGGCTTGCTTATGTTATTAAGTAACTTGTAAAATTCTATTTTTGACAGCTATGTTTGCCCTGCTGGTGATAAGAGAGCACAGATCTTTCACCTCTGTGGTTTGAATTTTGATACCGCTGGAAAGACACAGAAAAACAAATCCTTCAAATCAGAAGTTAACATCTTCATTTTTGTTCAGAGACCTTTTTAAAACCAATACTCTCTTCTATTTTATATTAGTTGCTCCTTTTTTCCCAGCAAAGGAACTGTGAATATGAGGAAGAGTAAGGAGACGTCCCCGAGTCATAGAGCTGGAGGCTTTGTGAACTCTTCCACCTAAACAGTCCAGTTGACTGTCCACTAGTAAACTGAGATGATACAGATCACAAATCAAAGCTAACAGTGTGGGGACGGACCTTACTGACCTTAGGGGAAATTAAGGTCCCCAGATATTAGGAAACTTGTTTAAGATCTTACGTGTAATAAGGAGCAGGCAAAACTACAGACCTTCTGATTCTGTCACGTTCCAATGCAGGGCACATTTGCCAGTGCAAAACCATTTAATTATGTATGTATTTTTAAAGCATAATATGGTATATATATACAAAATATACATAGTATATATATACATACATATGTGTGTGTGTGTGTGTGTGTATGCATACAATCACTTTAACTAGAACACTTAGGTCTAAGCACCTAGTTTTTTGAATGCCGTGCTTCCATATTATTAGAGAACTTCAGATCCAATAGTCATTCTGCTAGTGAATATTACTTTAGTAGCACTGCAATGTTTGTCCAACAGGTAGTTTTTGAATGTCTCGATACTCCCCTAAAATGACCCATAGCTTATCTTCCATCCTCTCACGAAGTGGCTAGTGTCTAAATGAGCTCAACGGAAAGAAGCCAGGTCAAGCCTGTGGCCAGGTGAGGGTCCCCCAGCAGTGACATCAGGATGTCTGTGATCACACAGAGGCTTGCAGCAGCTTCCGTTTCTCAGTCCCCTGTGCCACAGTTAGTCAAGCATAACCTCTCCCCTGCTCTCTTTTGCTGTGTTCATCCTGTTGCTTCAAGGCCAAATGCAAACTTGCAGTTAACAGAGCAAAGAATAAGCCGGGAAACACAAAAGAAATTCTCTTCCACCCTGAAGTATACAGGAAAGAGCCTGAAAGTTGAACCTACATAATTCTATTTCACAGAATTCTTAGCATTTTCACAAAAAAGCTTTTTTTCACTTGAATGTTCCTAAAATATGGAGCTTACTCTACCCTCAATTCTATCATGCATGTCGTCTGCCCACACAGAGAGTAAAGTTAAACTGGCACTCTATGCTGTAGGAGTTTCCCCTTGAGTTTTGCTTGTTGAAGGCAATGAAATTTAGTTTTTTAAAGTCATTCCTTACTTTCTTCTACCTAGGTTTGTGACAGCAAGGTGCTCATTGCTGTTCTAGACAGATTTTTACCCACTTCTATCATAGGTACACTCCCCTTATATGCCTAAAATTGATAGTTAGGTTTTAAAAGGGTTAAAATATCTTTTTCACTGTCGCTTCCCCTGAACAAATGTTTCAGGACTGAGGAAAGCCAAAACTAAAATGAACTGATAAAGTGACTTTCTTTTCTACATTATTTACAGAAAAATTTGACTATAATGTTTACAAAATTAAAGGAAAGAAAAAACCATCTCTTTAAAGAAAGAAAGACCACCTTTACAGCCAACTGTGCCTGCTGACATGTGAAAAAGAAATTACGTTAAATGTATTTCTTTTGTAGACTGAGTTCTTTACAATTTTCTGTGATTATTTTAGTGTGGTGAAAAGATACATAAATATTAAATTATTCATTAATTTTAGAGTTTTAAAACATTTACAGTTCACGAATTCTAAAATAACTCAGCTTTTAGTGAAGCAAATATCTCAGTGTCTCCCTTGACTTAATGAAACTTTAGAAAGTCACCACAGAATAAAAAAATGCCTGAAAAATTTCAAAAAAGCCTGATTAGCACTTCTTATTGGGATTAAAAACATAAATACTTGAGGCACTGTATTATGTATAATAATGCATTTATGATTTATAGCATTAGCATAAGTAAATCTAGGGCATTTCCAATAATCCATCTCTAGGAGAGCTAATAAAACCAGGATGTGGCACGGTCTGTCATTATTCGCATGTAACATTTGTATTCTGAATGGTAGGGAGATTTGAGTTTATTGGAAAAGCATGTAGGTAAAAACCAATGGTTATTGGATCCAAACACATTGTCTTACTACAAAAGGGGGTGTCACATATCCTAATGGGATAGTTTTGATGATTCTAATACTAGCCTGCCCCCTAATGCAGCATAAATTCCCTAAAAGGCATTATCTCAATGGCAATAGTCATATGCAAATAATTCCTAATAACTAGGTCTTTTTTGTGGCCCTTGTAGTTTTGCTTTTCAATGGTCCAACATGGACCGAAGTTACTGTTAAATACCCTGGACTAGGCTTTAAAAAAGGGGGGAGGGGTTACTTTCTTGGAAACCACATCTTGAAGTCTTTATCTGCAGGGGCCTTTCTTGAAACCAAGGTGATTAATCCTAAAGTTTGTTCTCCACTGATTCCTAAAGTATTAGCTAAGGTCACTTTCATTAAGAACTGGGGATCCTAACTGTCTTTTTGTCTTCCAACATGTTCTTTTGAAACTGACTGTAATTAGGGATTATATTTTCAAGCAGCAAATTAAGGTCTAGTGGATAATCCAGGTAGAAAGAATCTAGGTTACCTTTAGAGCTGGATGAAGTATGCTATTTCCTTTTTCCTATGAAAGACATTTATACCAGGAGTTATACCAGGGATGCTGGATTTCTGCATCAAGGGATATTAGTGTTTCTAGGACTCTGGATTTAGTGTTGAGTCTCAGCAGACGTCACAAGAAGTTCCTACCTGGACCAAGCTATATCCTGTGCGCTGGACCAGTGCGCGGAGCGCCGCTTCCTTCTGGGTGCCGCTCAATCCATCCCCGGATTTGTGATTTGATTCCATTGAGAGTGATTATCAGCAAAAAATCAGGTTAATTAGGGTTGCTCACTGAAACCAAATTTAAGATAAATTAAATAAATTACTATAGCCAAATCTACATTGCCCTTCTTGTGAAGGGCATCTTTAGGATAGGCCTATAAAGGAATCATCAAGGTTATAGCTGCTAACTGCCACATTCAAACAAGGCCAGCCAACAGTTTTTTTTTTTAAATCATGCTTTTATAATTATATGTAACTTTAAAATATTCATCCTTTTAAATGAAAACTGGATTGTATCCATTCTCTAATTAGAACACAGTCCACTCATTCTCAGTTCAATTGCCTTAAGATGTCACTAAATATACAAACAAATTAGTTCATGCCAATTGGAAAGATGTGAAGGGAGACGCTTAGCAGGTAACAGTGCCTGGCGCTCAAGCCTGAAGACCTGAGTTTGAATTTCCAGCACCATCTACAAAGCTTGTAACCCTAGCACCGTGGTGGCCTCCCTGGAGCTTCTTGCCACCAATCTGGCTCTGGGTTCAGCAGAAGACCTTGTTTCAAAGAAATGAGGCAGAGAGTGATAGAGCAGGGTGCCTGATGTCTTCCTCAGGCCTCCAGGTGTACACTACACTTCCACATCATATACCTGTGCACGTAACACACATACACATACATACATACATACATACATACATACATACACACACAGATACA